ATATATATATATATATAGGCACAGCAGAAGGCAATATTTATCATTTTAATTTGGTAACTTGGTGTACTAAAACTGAAATTGAATGAATTAAAAACTATACATTTTAATATAACTAAATATTTTAAAACAAAAACTACTAAAAATAACGAGAAAAAAAAACAAAGAAAAAAAATTAATAAAATTTGAAGTAAAAAACTGATTAAAAATGTTAATGAAAACTATAAGAGTATCTCAATACTAAAATAACGCTGCCTAATAACAAAAACAACAAATAATAATGATAATAAAACTTCACAAACTATGCAAAACACCAAACATGCACTTCACCTGGGGCCGGTTTCATAAAACAAGTTTACCAAATAAGCCAGGTTTATTTCAGTTAGTCTGACTTATTGTCAGCTGATTTGGTTCAAAATAAGTCAGACTAACTCAAATAAGCCTGGCTTATTTGGTACTAGGCTTGCCGCAATAGATGGTGTTGACGGTGATACCGTTGTTAAGCCGCAGCAACGGTTACGTCACTTGCCCACCGCGGCACCGACCCCCACCGTCGTTTTGATTTTTTATAGAAATAAAAATCATTTAGTTCAGTAAAAGAACAGACACTACAATTAAAAACTGAACGCGGCTGCTCAATGCAGTTGAACGACAGTCGCATCACAGATCAGATTTCATTTCTCCAGTGAGGAGAGTGAGTCGAGCTGACTGACAAGAAGAGTGAGGCGAGACAGACAAGAAGAGTGAGGCGAGACAGACGAGACGAGTGAGGCGAGACAGACAAGAAGAGTGAGGCGAGACAGACGAGACGAGTGAGGCGAGACAGACAAGAAGAGTGAGGCGAGACAGACGAGACGAGTGAGGCGAGACAGACAAGAAGAGTGAGGCGAGACAGACAGGAAGAGTGTTTATATATAGGCTAAAGTGAGTTTGACGTTGTATTTTGTTGTTGCATTCAAGCAATTGACGCAGAACTGCCGCTAATTCAAAAGTGAAAGTAAAATGAGCACGGCGCTTTTAAGCTATTTACAAGCGACAGAAAGCGAGGAAAAGAGGGAAAACTCGTATATTTTTATTTAATGCCATGTCAGCATCTTAGGCTATTTTCATGGCAAAAACAATTAAAAAATACAAATATAACAAATACCGAATTTTTACATTAACATATGATAAAAAATTCTAAAACTTTTTCTGGCAAAATTATACTAAACACTTTAAATGAGTTCACTTCATAAAAGAGTTTTCTACATGCATTAAAAGCGGGACAGTCCAATAAAATATGTTTGGCTTATTTGGTAAACTTGTTTTATGGAACACGCCCCAGATTTTCTCCATGTAACAGCAAGAACAGCAGCTTGTTTACTCTGTCAGAAAGCTGAATGCTGTATGAATGCTGTGAACATTGACTGCTGAGATGAGCAGACGTCTAAACAACAGTGAATAGAGGATTTCAACAACTTCCTGGCACAGAAATCCAAATAAACAAGAGAGAGGAGCAGCATTATCTGCCGTTATGAGCCGAGCGCACGTGAAAATCCAGCAACAAGACGCTTCTGATCTACATAAACAACCATTACATGCCAGTTAACTAAATCAACCCGTTCACACAGACGCTGCGCTTCCTCTGAGCTGCCAATGCTGCTGTTTTAATGCACTTACACTAGCTTTCTATTCCTGTAACTACATGACATCCACTTTAAAAGAATCCCTCTATACAAACTGATGCTTGATGACAGAAGCGAACATGAAGCACTTCATCTGAAACTACTGCATAAAGCATTTATCATCCTTTATTTATTATTATACACTCAACTTTTAGAGCGCATATTAACTGAGCAATTATGCAAAAGTTTTGTACTTTTATGATTTCATTTGTCACACTGTAGAATCTGAAGCTCAAAGGGGTTTAAAATATTAAAAAACGTTGTTACAAAATATAAAAAAACACAATTAAACTTTTACATTCATAAACATTTAACCTTAAATCTTTTTTAAAGCACTGTGTTGACTGTGATGTCAATCAGGGTT